CACAGCAAATTCCATGTATGTGTAAACCCACTTGGCAATAAACCTGATTCTGATATCTCAGAAACACCTTCAGGAAATCCTTTTAAATTTTATACAAACGTTCACTTGGATTCATTGATGAACTGATTAGAAATGGATTATAGGTCAAGGTCACTGTGACCACACAAACATATTTTTGGCCTATTGGGCACAATATCTCAATTTTTCCCATGGATAATTCCAGTTGCTGCTTCAAATATGTATTGATTAGATTTCTGTGGTCAAAGGTAAAGGTCACAGTGACCTCAAATTATTGTGAATGAAATATTTCAGAAACACATGGAAGAACTGAAACTGCACCTGTTAGCAGAGGCATACATTCCCTCAAGTTCTCAGCTGCATTTTATAATGCTGCACTTCAAGTAGTTCAACTTGCACCTTCACTGGAATTTATGAATCATCTTAAAGCGGAGGGAACTTGACAGGTATTGCATGGACTCCATTATTAGGATTATGTCCTTGGCAGTATTTCATAGGGATAGTACTGCCAAGTATTTTGTTGAAAGGGATTTAGGAAAAAGTATGATGGCGTGAGGCAGGTGGTAGGAGGAGGTGGCAGTCGGAACCTGAGGATTGGCTGTATACGGATAATGAGCCCTATAATTTTCCATACCAGTTAACGTTTAGAGGCCAGACTTCTTTGCTTTGCTTTACAGGAGTCTTATGCACTCAGACTGCCTATTATCCCCACCCATGAGTTTTCAAGCTGTGAATTAAATTCTGTTCATTAGTGCAGCATTTATATTTCACTGCACATCAGTGTTTAACTTGAAAGATTTTAATAGGTTTACTTATTTTTATCTGCACAACAACCAGAGACCAGCTTTCAAATCTTCAAATCCGGTTGACACTCATAGGTTTGATGTAATTGCACTGAGATCGGATGATGCTTGAGGTGAGGCTGAATGTATACCTCCATGGACCTGTCTCATTCCACTTTTGATCTCACATATAACCTGTCAATCACAGTAATGCTATCTATATGGCCCATTTTCCATCCGCTTGCTTTGATGCCATATACAGTAGTTCTTTAGGGAGATAATTTCATGCTTCTTGGACTTGAAGAACTGTGTTGTTGAGGTTACTTTCTTAGAAATTATCTTGTGTGACTTAAAAAGAGCCATGGGGCTACAGAGACTCTCTTCTCTTCCTGTTTTTATATAATACCAGACAACTGTATTTCCATTGGTACTTGGATTCTGATCGAAAGCTTTTATTATAAAAGCGACCTCCACTTTCCTTTTCCATTGCTGGTCAGCCATTAAACATTAGCGTTTTGATCTGGAAAATATGTGAAAGGGTCCTTGTGGTTAATTTTCCCTTAGAGAAAAAACCTCATCTGGACCAGGGTTGAAAGCTGGGTCAAATAGCAGTGCTCGGCTTGAAAGTTTATTTTAATCCTTTTTTCTCCATCAACAGATCACAGAATACATTTTAAAGCATGTGAAAGGTATAAAAATCCAATCATTTTTTAACATTCGCTATTATTCCCCATTCTATCCTGCAGTTGGTCGGTGGTGAATTCGACATGGAGGCAAACTTCATTATCCAGGATGCAGAAAGCATTGGTTGCATGGTGGAGCTGCTGCAGAACTGTGACGTCACCTGTCAGGCTGAAATCTGGAGCATGTTCACGGCCATGCTCAGAAAAAGTGTCAGAAACCTGCAAACATGCACCGAGGTCGGCCTCATCCAGCAGGTGCTGCTCAAAATGAACTCAGTGGAAGACATGATTGCAGGTATGATAACAGTAAGAGCCTTGCTCAGTAGTTCATTTTCAGATTGTTACATTGGTAGTAAGTACAATATACATGGGTTATGTCTTCTTGGTTTTTGCATTCAGTGAGGTGTCAAAACCATTGGTATGTTCATTTATACAGTAGAAGGTGTTGACAGAGCATTATATTAGCAAAATGAAATGACAAATCACCCAAATAATCACCCCCAAAATTGATGGTGACAAAGATGGACTCAGCCAATTGCTGATAGATGATATATTCCATCAGCCAACCCTACCCCCATCTTAATAACTTAATGTCTACAATAATATGATTAAAGACAATGCACCAAACTTTCAAATCTATTTTCCATGATGTTAAGAACATATTTCAAAAGTGTATAAAAGCAGGAGTGAATTTAAAATGTATTTTTAACTTTTAATACAAATTCAGGGAGGTAGAGACAGTTATCAGAGAGAAGCATTTACAGTTTTGTTTTTTCTTTTGGTTTAAATTTAAAAACTGCAATCCCTTTTTATATCTCAGTTGTTCGATTCTCTGAGATATTAAGTATTAATTAAAGTCACTGACTTGGTTAAAATAGAAATGGATCACTGTTTTAATTGATGGTAGATAATCATTGCTTTACAAATATTTAACATTTTTATCTGTTGTAGATACATTTAAAAGTGACAGCTGTGTTTGACAGGATGTCTTGACACATTTTTGTTTGGATATTTTGGTTTATTTAGGGATTAGGAATTATCCAGGATTGAATTACAGTGTAGTGGTCAAATTTACCTTGTACCATCAGATCAGAATTGATCCTTGATCAATACTTAATTCATCAGCAAGATTATATTTAAAATGAATGTTCGGGTTTCAATGAGGTGTTACAGTTGGGGACACTGTGGTTTTACCTAAGGGGTTTGTGGACCATTCATTAAGTAGGGTCAGGTAGTTGTTCTTGTTTTAATCTCTAATACATATTGGCCTTTCTGAAATAGGCCCCTCACGTTTATATTCAAGTTGTGGTGCTAATTTCTTTTGAGGTCAGCAACACTTCTGTTATTTTGCACCGTCCAAATTGCATCCGTACCTTGTGTAACTTGTAAATGATGTTTCAGCTGAGGAAATCCAAATGCATTTTCCCTGCAGTGCCTTGAAGTTAAACCATTTACCATATGGACATCACTTTGATTTAAGTCAAGTTTGCGTGTAATTGTAGTAGAAATGTTTTCGTGATAAATATAATGGAATTTCACAGACAATGAACTCGGTGAAAATGAAGTTTAACTTAAGAAAAACAGTTTATTATCTCGGGAGTTGATGCATGTGAATACTTGAATCACCACAAAAACCTCCTCTGCAGTGTGGAAGAATTATAATATCTGTAATGTGCAGCTGCATTTGAAGATTGTTCACTCTGTCCTCTTTCTTTTGTGTGTGTTTGTGTGTGTGTGTGCGTGCGTGTGTGTCTGTGTGTGTATGTATGTTATCTTGCCTTCAAAGACTTGCTAGTGGACATGTTGGGAGTGCTAGCCAGCTACAGCATCACAGTTAAAGAACTGAAGTTGCTCTTCAGCATGCTCCGAGGGGAAGGAGGCCTCTGGGTAAGTGATAGCAAGTGATACCAGAGAGACATCACACTGATCTGTTTGGTGTTCTGTCATTGAGTAATTGCAGAGTGAGTGAACATGGTGTCAGATGTATTGATTGCAGTCTAAATGGTCAAGGGGAAAAGCCTTGTTTTTATTGTTATTTTTTTCCCTTTGTCACCTGTGCAGCCGAAGCACGCTGTCAAAATGTTGTCAGTGTTGAATCAGATGCCCCAGAGACACGGTCCAGATGCCCTCTTCAACTTCCCTGGTCGCAGTGCAGCAGTGAGCATATACATTCCTTTTTTCTAAATAAAATGGCATAAAAAATGGCATGTTTTTTTGCTTTCTATGGAGCCCAGTAGCTTAGCAGGGTAAAATCAATGATAAATAGTGCATGATTAACAAAACAAACAGTCTCCTACACTGTATAGTAATAAATAATACATGCTGTGTTGCAAAAGATAAAAAAATGACCTCATGTCTGCAGAGCTTTAGAAAATTAAATCATGAAATTGTGATGTTATTCAGAAATTTGTATACATGCATAATAAATATGTAGCAGGACTGCAGATGGATTTGAGGGGCTGCGGATAAAAACCTACCCTTTTTAAGAATATTTGTTTGTCTAAATGAAGTAGAGACAGTGCAGAGCCGATTGTTTCTCTCAGGAGAAACCAGACACTCAGAGGAAATAGGAAGAGAGATGATGTTACATTTGCATCTTTTTGCATCATGCTTGAAGTAAGTAAATAAGGTGTCACAGTTGTTTCATCAAATCTATGGTGGCGATTGGCTAAAGGGTTGTATGAAATGGCTCTTTCCAAAAGAATAGATTTTTTTTAACTTTATCCAAATGCAAATCAAGGGCTAGAACTGTTCCTGGATTTATGTCAAAGAGGCTGGACCCTTGCCACCAAAAAATATTCAACATGAGCAGGAATTATTGCAAGTAGTGCATAGTAGTACGTGGATAAGTATTAAAATCCCATTAATTGTATCTTTTGCCATTGTTTTGGTTTTTGTCCCAGGCCATTGCTTTACCTCCTATTGCCAAGTGGCCTTATCAGAATGGGTTCACGTTCAACACCTGGTTCAGAATGGATCCCTTGAATAACATCAACGTTGACAAGGACAAACCATACCTCTACTGGTGGGTACACAATTACACACGCTGCTCATAGGTGCCGTTAATCTACATTATGATGCCACGGAAAAGAAAATTACACTTTGTCGTTTTTTAACAATCTAATTGGTTGAGCTTTGTATTCGAAATGATTCCTTCTTTGCAGCTTCATTAAGCCTCTCTGCTCCCAACAGCCAAGGCTGAATGTGTCTTTTATGTTTGTGTTTTCCATCCATTCAACATTTACTCCTGAAGCGCTGGAATTTTACACAAACCTTCACTTGTATTCAAAGACAACCTGATTAAAATTTGAAGGTCATAGGTCACTGGGCTTCTCACACAGATATTTTATGTAAAGGAGAATGAGATGAAATGATGATGGTATTTTATATAAGCAAGGTCAAATGTCAGCTTCAGTGTGACATAAAAATGATCTGTAAAAACACTTGTCTGGCCATTCAGCTTAATCACGTTATTATAATTTCTTGATAGTTTCCATTACGTACATTTTACAGTTACATTATCTGAACTTGAGTTTAGACAGACATGTAAACTGCGATGTCACCTGGTGGTGAAGGCATAGAACTACTGCAAAATGGTTATTCTAGTCGACAAAATTATCTTTGATACTCTGACCTACAGGGATTTTTTTATTTTAGTGGATTACGACTAGAAGTTGTTTTTCAAGGTTAAAGTAGTTTTAGAGACACTATTTTTTTTTCACACACTCTGACAACCCTAACGAAATGTGATTTTTGTGAAAGGGCCAGATAATGTTCATGAATTAAAACCCAGGGAAGTATATGAACTACAATGACTGGTACTGGCTGTTACTTTGCTGTATTGCATATTGCTGTCCTCTTGTTGTACCTTACTTGTGAAGCACTTTGGTCAACCAAGTTGTTTTAAATGTGCTATATACAATTGACATTGACATTGTTGCAGAGGTGGACTGCTGCAGTGGGAGGCACTGTGGAAGTATTAAGTTAGATTGGAATATCTGCCTCATAAGGGGCCACATGAGCAGCTCTTGCACGGTCTTGTGGGTAATTAGCGCTAAAAATCAATAACCTTCAAGCACAGGGATGTTCAGCTGCTGTTTATGAAAGGGAAATATAAAGGAATTGTTGAAGGGAATGACAGAGAGAGTATAAAATACAGATGCAAATGCAGATGGCAGACGGGAAAGACGGTTCACACGAATCGTTCAGAGATAAGCTTGGTTCAGTGTTCACCATCTGCTGACTGTCGTTGCTTCACCTGGATCACACACTTTGAATTAAAAAATCTACTCACCTTGGAAGGACTTGTACTGTGTTTGTTTGATGTGTAACATCAAAAAGGCTAAGGGGAGTTGTTGGTATTCATGTGGCAGCAATTTCATTCTGACAGTCACAAAAATGGCGAGATATGCCTAGCTAATCCTGTTTATGCATTTCCCTGGGCCTCACAGCTCAGTGGCAGGGCATGTAGACAACGACAAAAAAAGAATTGTATCTTCAGAAGCCGACCAAGGTTGCTGCTTTCCTCCTGATGTGTGATCACAGACAGGCTTGTCCACTGTAAGGCGTGAGGCTCTACATCTCTGGCCCTGCAAGCACCACCAGTATGAAAGCCTACACTCTTTATCTGCTTTACCAAAGAGGTCTGCTTGTCTTAGTTGATCCCAGTGGGTGGGTGGTGGTAGTGGAGGGCTTTGAAGATTGGGGGACTGCTATAGACCTAAAGACTGTAGGAGTGTAGTGAGAACATATCTGCAGTCAGAAAGATGTTTGGCCCAAGCAGGGAAAGAATAGAGATCGAGTGTGGTATTCGAAGGTTGTTTGAGTGTGGGCTGCACAGTTTCTGCTCTTATTGTCCATATATGTGGCATTTTTCAGTGCTATGGAGTCAAGAAGATCAGAGTAGAGGTAAAAGACACTAGGGAAATCATGCTCATCAACTAAAGCCCTTTGTACTATGCCTGCAAAGTTTCCAGTGGCTGTAGTCTTGTCTCATGTATTTCACTGCTCTTACTGCTGAAGGGCAACATCATAATTCTCAGGAGAAAGTCTAGTTATCTGTCAATCATTCCTGCAAATTGCCTTGTGTCCACATTGCTGAAGACATTCAAATATCATGTTGACAACTTTTTCCCTCGAGTTTCTGCTTTGTATATATGCAGTATGCCAAGAAGGAAATATCCAAACAAATACTTAAAAGCACAAAACAATGTAGAATGTAAATTCTGGTCTTCAGGAACCTGGAATAACCTAAAATATAATAATCCTTCTTGTTGATAAATTGATTATGTTTCACCTGTTAAGTGTGCAGCTCATAATTTGTTCTGTCTCCATTTACAGCTTTCGCACAAGCAAAGGCATTGGCTACTCTGCACACTTTGTTGGTAACTGCTTGATTGTGACATCACTCAAGTCTAAAGGGAAAGGTTTCCAGCATTGTGTGAAGTATGATTTTCAGCCAAGGAAGGTAAGACCAGCCTCAGTTTTAATTCACGTGTTCCAGATATCAGAGAATGTTATCTTGACCATATACTGTAAACAAAAGATGGACAATGCTTCTCCGCCTCCTCCCATCGAACAAAAATCAAGCTGAAATTTCGAGGATATTGGTAATAAATGTACAGACGGAGTCAAGGCAATCTGGGGATGGAGTTATGATATTGAGGTCCTGCCAATTCACACTCTCAATTCTAATATAATCAAATAGTGAATAAAACTAAACAATGTCAGAATTGCATATGGTTGTGAGATGAGCTGAAGGCAAATAGCGAAAGGATTTTAGTTTTGCTACAAACAGAAATCATTCTGCTCTTTTAAATCCCCCTGCCCTACTCACCACCTGGTCTTTTATTGGCATTATAACGTTGCACATGAGCCTGAAGTGTTAAAGACCCCCAGAGGAGTCTTACTGGTGTAATTGGATGTAAATGTAGATGAAAAAATGAAACTTAATTTAGCGTAGAATGTCAATGTAGCATACATGTCCCTGCACAGACGGAAAACTGGCTCAAAACATGTGTCAAACAATTAGAGCCTTCACACAACACCTGGGAACAACTATTCATCCCAGTCCCACTGCCTCAGCGCAGATATCGTTTTGTCAAATCTCTTAGAAGATAAACCCTGTTGAATTAAGTTTTTAATTGATTTTGGGTCCAGACCTATGGTCCAGACATCTACAGGTAAGTGCCTTTCTAAATTATGCCCGGGCCGTTGGGCCTCTTCCCCTCAGCCATGAATCCTCTTTCGAGTGTCCTCACCCTTGTGTGCAGGCAGTTGTAATTTCAAAAGATGGCTCGGTGTGCCCTTCTATGGTCAAACCAATAAATAGTGGGTACATAGTCATGTAGGAGATGCTGTGATTGTGTCTGTTTTCTCCAATGTTCATACAGAGCAGCTAGATTGCTGCAGTGAGTCCCTTTTTTTTTGCATGTTATGCTCTTGTCAGGGGTTAACACAGATGACAAGCAAACATTGTGTTTATTGCATTGATTCAAGATTCATTGAAAAGTCAAATGGCGTAAGAGAAAAAATTGAAGCCCATAAACTCTTGGAGATAAAAGTCGTATATATCTGAAAAGCTCCAGATTGCTGGAAAGTTTTGACCTTTCTGAGCTTTATGAAACAATGTCTTGATAAATTAAGCCCAGGCTGGTTATACATTGTTGATGTTTTCTCAGCTACTTCAAAATATTTTTCTACCCATGGCTTATTGATGTATTTTATTAATATTTATATGAAAGTGAAGGAAAAGGAACCCTCTGATATATATTTGTTTGTTGTTGAGTAAAAAAAAGTTCCACTACTAAGAAGCTGTCAAGCACTGTGTGTAATTATGTTATCTTTTCATATGAAAGGTAATTTTTTTGATGCATGGTCATATGATCACCTCTTTTTTATATTGTGAAACTGTCCAGCACAAAGGTTTATGGTCACTCTGTAGCCTTTCTTTATGTATCAAGTATTTACGGCTGAATCTTGAAGTCTAGACACACGGCTAAACTGAGCCCGTCATTTCCAACTTTACACTTCAGAGCAAGGAGAAATATTTGGACAGACTTTCAATGTTAAATCAAAAGAACTAACACCAGTTCTTGTACTGCTGTATCAGCAGCACAGAATGTGAGATAAATCCTTTGATAAAAACCGAGAACTTGGAAGAAATGAAAATGAAGCTCCAAAGTGTGGGAATGAATAATGCATCTACAGGTTTTAGATTAGAAAATATGAGCAAAGCAATTTAAGTTTAAAATTGATTTGTATAACTTTATGTATGGCACTTACAGTAAGACCATATTTTCCACTTTATTGACTTGGTCCAGCAATTAAAAAGGGTTTAGTGGAGTAGATAAAATTGATCATATTTGGGAAAGCTGTTACAGACATCTAAATCTGAAACGAATAACTTGTCCGTGTTTCATTTTTAATGTAGTAATAATTGCTTTTTGATTTTTAAGTGATGTGAAATGTTATTTGTTTGTAGATAAGTTGTTTAGAAATCATTGTGACTCACTTCTGTGCCCACTTGACATCTGTAAAAGTCACTTCTCTGGCTGTAGTTAGTGAATAAGCTTTTGTCTGATGTGGCTTTGTTCAGACTGAAAAATTAGTTTTGTTGCCTGTGCTGTTATGTATCTATTCACTATCTCTCACTGCAGATTTTTCAAAACAAACCTCATGACTTTCTAGTTACTGTAAGGTTTATCTTAAACTCTGGCTTTTAAAAGAAACAAATTGTAGTGTTGACCATAAATGTTGTATATATTGCTCTAATAACAGTCCTTCCCAAAGATCTGCTTCACCTGCTGTGTAGCTCACTTATTAAATCTCTTCGATCTGACTCTATTCTCATCCTCAGTGGTACATGATCAGTATCGTTCACATCTACAGCCGCTGGAGAAACAGTGAAATCAGATGCTACGTTAATGGACAGCTTGTTTCTTACGGAGACATGGCATGGCACGTCAACACAAATGATGTAAGTGGATTTCTTTTCACTCTTCCTCTCTGTTGTCACATTTTTCCCCCTGGTTTTGTCGGTTATTGGCACAAGACTGACTGAGGCTGCTATGCTGACATTTTGAATGGCTGGAACTGGAGGGAAAATCAATCAACTATAGTGCTCAGTGAGCTAAACAAGTTTTATTATATAAACATCGATGGGTATAAATATGACTGACGGGTCATTCTTAGTTTGAATATCCATTTCTTAGAGAGTTGTGCCGCACTCAATGGTGGAAGTTGGAATATAGAATATGTGAGAAAAGATTTGAATAAAAATACCAAAATCACAGTAACCATGTTTGCAGATGTAAATATCATTACACTAAGACTTATTTGCTTCTTTAAAATGTATGGAAATATTGTGAATGTTAGTGTAACCGTATATTATTTTCAAAGGTTTTTCATACTATAGCATTGAGTGCATGGGATTGTTGCATAAGTCAGAGGTTTTAATATATGTGTGGTTCATGAAATGTTACTTCATATTAACTTTGTTTATTTGGGTTGAAGGAGAAGGTTTACCATGAACTTACATTAGTGAAAGACCCATGAAAATAGAATGAGGTGTCATAAATAATCACACCACCACATTGAAGTGCCAGATAAAGCACTATTCTACACACTTGCAGTAGGACATGTGATGTGGATCTTATCTCATGAGCTGACAGCTGGACCAGTGCTACATGTGGTGGGTTTCAGGTTAGAAGGTTGTATGATTTGATTTAAACATGTAGATAGTTTGTCATTTCTGGTTCAGTTTAAGCTGTAATGTTAAACTTAAATGTTCCCATTTTTTTGATTTTTTTTCCCCATGTCCTACGGTTACTTGCCTAGAAATATAAAAAGATTAATACCATCCCTCTGCTCTTGCCTGTTCAAGAGTTGGACTGAAGCTAGAAATCTTTTGGATAAGTACAGTGTGACATTTTGTTTGTAGTTGCCGAATGTTTTTAATTCATCATCAATCATTTTGAAAAAGTCACAGGATGGATATGCATTTCTAACATGGTTTAATGAAAGATTAGCTTGAATTCTCTATAAATAGATCTGATCGTTTAGTTTCAGTTCCACTTGTAAAGGTTTTTATGCCGACTGATTTTTCAGCTGCTTTGTAATTAGCTGCTGACATTTTAAGTTATCCTTCAATTTTTATTCTAACTGTAATCACAGCACATATTCTCACTCTTGCCTCTGAGGTTATATTGAGGTTTCATATCTTCCTAAATCAGCCATAGCTTTCATTGTTCAGTTGGAGAATTGTCAAGGTAAGCACTGAAACAAGATAAAAAGTGAAAAGACAACGTCTTGGTCTGGATGCTCCAGACATTTTCCAGTGAATGAGACTCTCTTTCTCTGTCCCTCTTGCAGAGTTATGATAAGTGCTTCCTCGGGTCCTCTGAGACAGCGGACGCTAACAGAGTATTCTGCGGGCAGCTGGGAGCCGTCTATGTGTTCAGTGAAGCCCTCAATCCTGCACAGATATTTGCAATTCATCAGCTTGGGCCAGGCTACAAGGTATGTACCGGAGGCTGACTGAATTAGATTACATGTAAGCAGTTTGCATTACCTATCAATCTGTGAAATCAATGCCCGGCTCTGCCCTGCCGCAGTTCCTTCAACTTGTGTCTCAATCTTGGGAGTTTCGGTCTTCCTCCCAGATAACCTTCTGCATAAATTACCTACTTCTGAGAAATAATGGCACAATACATGGAGGGAAGCAGCGAGTGCTACGAGGGGATAGAGTCCTGATCCGACTTATGTCTGCTGCAGCAGGTTTAGCGCTCCCAAGCCCCCGGACAAAGACCAAAAGAGTGATTGTGAATTGTGAATATTTGGTTTGCATATTTTTATTTAAATTCTTTTTATTTGGGGTTATACCTCTGGAAAGGTCATTTTGGCTCAGGTTTATTTAGTTGGTTGTATATCACAAAAGCCAATTTACGGCATTTCTGACATTTGGCTGATTGGTTTCATCTGGCCTTATTGATAAATGTAATTTGGTATCATCTACATAACAATTTAGGTTTATGGTGTGTTTCCCTATATTTCCAAAAGGAAGCATATATAGAGTGACTATATACAATGTAAGAGTCTATTCAGACCAAGTGGCACTCACCAAGCTCCATCTCATACCAGAAGATTCCATAAACAGCTGCCCCTGACAATTACTGAAACAAGCCTTCGATGACTTGGTGCAGGCCTGAGAAATCTCCCAGATCCGACTGTTGCCTAAACATTGAGAAATGTATGGCTTCAAAATGTTGCAGACATCCTGTCATGAAACTTTGTACGTATACATTTTGATATTGAATTTGAAAACTGGTATATAAAATTGAAAAAGATTCATATAAAGAACTTAAGGCTGCTCAACAGTGATCAAGAGTGCTCTCACAAAAGGAGGCATTACATGCTCTGGCAAATCACCCTTAAACAAAGGATATGTCCCAGATTTTACATCAACACCTCCGGCCATTTTACACCACATCTGTTTGCTCTCTAGCTGCTTTTCAGTTTATTTATGGCAGGAAAGAATCATTGTGGTATTAAGCTGTCTTATCCTAAGTTAAAACCTCCACTGTTGAGGATTATGAGATGGATGTTTGTGATTTCAGTCAGGTCTGTAAAAGCCTGGAGATTCCCAGTAGAAGTCATTGTTTGGTCTTTTTGCTAATGGCTGGTGACTTCCCTTTTCCCTCTTTAATTGTGGCTCTAGACCTTCTATTAGTCAGGTAACACACAAAGGATCAGTCTGAGAGATTTCTCAAAATAATGAAGAGCATGTCCCGGGGAGACAATTACCCACAATTGATGAAGCTGTAAACGGGGCTGGTAATAGTGACTGGGACAGAGCCAGCCAGGTGAGTTGATGAGGAAGGTCAGAGAGTCGTCATGCTCACTGATTGATTGCTGTAATGGGAGGACTGTCCAGACGACGAGAGGCCTGTCTGTTTTAATTGAGAGCTGCTTGGAAGAGTCTGGAGTGCAGCAGGTCGCGGCTGCTACACAATGTCCATCAACGTTTCTTAATATCTGTTTTAATGCAGCTCCATTGATGAGCTGGTTCGTGATATATTTTCTGATCGCTGGTCCCCTCTTCCGAGTTTGATGTTTAACACTCTTTCCTTTGCTCACACGGTGCATTGAATATAACTGTAACATCTGCAGTTAGTTGAAATGCAGAGATCATTGCTGCCTAGGGTCAATTTCTCTACTCCATATTATGATTTATGGCTGTAAATCTGACAGACCTGTTAGTCGAATCCGCTCCCCGTGCTCTTCTCATATCGCTGTTTGCACTCTGAACTCAGATGGCACCAGACAACGTGTGCTGTATATTGCTATTATGACTTGAAACCTCACTAGACAGACATAGTATTGAGCAGCAGTGGTAGGTCTAGACTCTGACAGCAGCTGGCTGTCATTTCAGACTGTCATTCATCACTTCTGCTTCAGCTGTGTGCTCATAAGTCTTTTGTGAATGTCTCAAAAATTGTGGGCTGAAGGATTCCTACAACAGAATCCCAGATTTTAATTTGAAATGGATGCTAGCAAACATGACTCATCAGAAGATTGTTAAAAAAGCCATCTTAAGATGTTTCCAGACATGAACTCTGTGAATTGGGTCTGGACATTTTCTGGAGTTTGCTTTTTAAGAACAAAGCAGGATATTGTCTGAGTCAGATGGGTTCTAGAGCATTGGGATGAGAGGTGGTGCCTGGGAAATCTCAGGTTTTTTACAGCACATCCATATTTTCTGGAAATCTTAATGCTTTATCCTCAGATGGGCTCACTCAGACATTTTGGGGACTCCAGTAAAATGTCTGGACCTGAAAGTAGCTTTCTTGTGTTTTCCTGGAGAAGTGCTGTAATGTACCTTTTGCTTTCCATCTCTGTAAAATAGCCCCCTTTCGGTTCATTAAGTAAGATCCGTCACAGCAATATCCAGTGACACTTTCACTGAACACAAACTTTTACTCACTGGGTTGGCTCGTCAAAACAATTAAGCCATGACTTGAAGTCTTCACATATCATGTACTTAAACTTATTTCTGTCTTCACTTTCATCGCTGCTGTATGTGTTCTACATGAGGCAGCTTAGCTCATTGAATCTGTGCCAACACTGCTCTGCAGTTTGCACCACAGCTTGTTGAAGAGACTGAGGAGCAGCCTAGTTCTGGCCCTCCCTTGTCAGAGAAGACAAATGTTATCTCTGTGTAGGGGCCATGCAGTAACGCAATATCTGAGGTAGAACATTACACGACAACCTCACCGGTGTCAAAACGTCTGACATATTAGGCAGGTCTACATATATATCTGCAGATGGAGGACTATTTTTTTAGTAAAGCTGCCTGCCTGTAAATGCCTCGAAGCTGTCAACGGAGAAACAACACAGTTTTTTTCACAAGTAGAAATCCCATGAGGCCCTGTAACAGAAAATGTTAAAAGTAGTTTTTGACTGCGTCAAAATACACTTGACTGGTATGGACACCCCTGGGATACACAGGTTTTTTTTCATTTAAGTAAGTAAAAGAAATAGATGAACTGGTCCAAATTTCTGTCTTGCAATAAGCAAAAAAAACCCTGAACACTTTCTTGGATTTGGATCTATAACAAACTAAATCCTTGGCCAGGGTTGACATCCATGAACTTAACTTTTGAAAAACTAATCTGCAGTGCTGAAACCATAAGTTTACCATAAGGTATTCAAACTAAAAAATGATGGAGATCAACCACGAGTCCTTCTCTCCATGTTGCGTGAATTAAAATAGAGACATTTCTTAAACGTAAAAGAGCTTTTTATCAATTAAACTGAAACTGAAAAAATCATTGCATAATTGACTAAACTGTCTCAATCTGCAGTGATGCTCAGCCCGCAGGTAACAAGGGACTGTCCTCTGCTCTTCAAGAGTCTGCTCTGTTTATTGAAGGGAGCTGCGAGGATGAGAAAGTAGGAACTGTGCTCTAATCCTTTTAAATGATCGGCTGGTCCATGGAATGATGCTGTTCCACTACAGGGTCTGTGAGCCGAAACCCTAGAGTTCATTATTTTCACACTGCGACAGGGCTCCCACTAAAGTGCAGGGCACTGGAGCTTGTTATTTCTTGTCACTTGGTTTCCATGAGTTGGAACCTTTTGAAGGATGTTAGAGACTACATGATGAGATGCATGCTGGCTGTTGTGTTGACTTGATCAAGGCAGATGAACAGAAAACCCCTTATGCTTTTTTCATCATCTGACTGGAAGGAGATGCATCATTAAGTGTGGCTCAACCCTCTCAGTTTCCTTGCTGCACAACTCTTGAGTACTGCTGCAAGGCAAGTGAGAGTGTCAGCCAGTGTGCAAGAATTTTGACTGCTGTCGTTTGGAGCCCAAATTCATTTCTCAGGCTAAAATGAGAAACACAGAGGATAAAGCTCTGCTTAGGATATTGATATTTGAAACTCTATTTAGACAAACTGATTCAAATGTAGTGTCGTTCAGTATTTGTGGGAAATATAGGATATAACTTTAAGTAGTAAATTTTTTCAAATGGTATCCAGCTATTTAAATGTTGCTATTTCATAAGACTCAGAAAAGAATGCACAATCGTTGTACAACTGAAAACCTGACTCGGCTTGGCCTTTTAATCCACTTACTACCTGAATTTAGCCTTAATTTGGGTAAGTGCATGAACCCTGTTTGCATGTGTTGTGTAATATCATATCATATCTTAATGAGTGTTTCTCCACTGTTACTTCAGCTGCTTCTGCCGCTCTCTATCTTATCTTCATTCGCTCGCTGTCATTGAATCAGAGAGGGAAGGAAAAACATTTCTTCCATCCATTGTTAATTCAACCCTTCTGATTAGAGGAATTGATTTACTTTTTAAGCATATTCCATTCACACTGCACTGACGGACTAATTCAGCTCCTCTGTCAACAGCTAATTGATTCAGTAAATTAGGACTAGTCTGTTATCGATCAGCTATTTCTTATGTTAGCCATAATGAATGTGCTTCTGAGACACTGACTAATGGAACCTGCAGGGTTTTTTTTATGCAGCCATCAAGTCATGTTGATGAGATCTAACTCGTTTTCACATATGACGTATTAAAAACATATAAGACAAGACACCACATTGATGCCTAAAGAGAAGATTAATCATTGAAGTCATTATGTCACCAGCGTATTCCATTTAGTACTCATGAGAATTAAGGCCATCGGTTTATCGATTACTCTCTCCAGGGTGCAAATTTATTCTTGCTTTTGTTTCCTCTGTCTGTGGACTGAACGTGAAGTACAAATTTAACAAATCCGACGAATAAATACTAAGTCTTTATTGTGATCTCAACAAATGTTTGCGCCATATTTTGATATCATGTTTTATTCTCAAGGGGTTTCCAGCCATATTGAATATAATTCTTTTAATACCTGCTCCTCTTTCAAAAGTGCAAGGAGTATTTAACCTGAAAAATATTACTTCAGTAAAGAAAGCCATTGATATATGTGCACTGTGAAATATAAATCAATCATTTTAATTGGAATGTTTTGTTTAATTGCAAATAAACTAAAAGTCCCTGTTTTTCTTGCTTTTGTATTTTCTTGCACTTTAAATGTCGCTTTTAAGCAAAGTTACATTGTGTTTCTGGATAATTTCACTTCTACCCTGGCTCACATCACCGATACCATGCACATAGCCTTTTATATGTGTAGTTGCTGCTACAAAAAATCATTACTATTCATGGTCATTTTTCATTATCAATTTGACATGTTTCAATCAAGTTGTAAAGAAAAGACAGCACCTTAGTGACACTGACGGGCTGCATGAATGGTAAGGAACTACTCACTCTCACCATCTTCATCTTTTCTTTTCAGAGCACATTTAAGTTCAAGTCAGAGAGTGATATCCACTTAGCAGAGCATCACAAGCTGGTGTTGTATGACGGCAAGTTAGCCAGCTCCATCGCCTTCACGTATAACGCCAAGGCCACTGACGCTCAGCTCTGCCTGGAGTCCTCGCCTAAAGAAAACGCCTCCATCTTTGTGCACTCACCACACGCCCTCATGCTACAGGTCAGTTACTTTACTACAAGCCATCTCTTACTCAGCGTACATTATCTCAGGCTGTAATTCTTTCATTTCTGTTGCACTGGTTTTTAAAATGTCATGGTACAGGTGTGTTTTTTGGGGTTTTGTGTTATTCTTGCAGGATGTGAAAGCCACAGTGACTCACTCCATCCACAGTGCCATCCACTCCATCGGTGGGATCCAGGTGCTGTTCCCCCTCTTTGCTCAGCTCGACTATCATCAGCTGAATGACAGCCAGGTGGAAACCACTGTTTGGTAAGAAATGGAAATATTATTGGGGCACACGACAATTTTGAATTTTGTATGTTGAAGCATTAGAATATATACACATGGGAATTGTAGGTGACAACATTTTGGAGTTTTAATTTATGTCCTGAACCCTCTTAGGACTTTTTATGAGGCTGTATTTGTTTTGCAAAAAGGTGGATTTTTCTGTCTACAAATGTATTTTTCATCTTTATTATCAGCCTAAAGAAACGTGTGGAGGCATTTTATATATCCTTTCTGGGATGTCATATACTTGAGTAAATTATTATCACTATTGTGGTGGTGTTGTGGTTACAGGCATCAGCCTCAGAGATCATGAAAACAATTCAACAAAAAAGCTTTCAAAACAGCAGAGAGCTACGACTTTATTAATCCTGATGGGAAATACTGTGAGGATTGAGGAGTGCTGAGTTTGCTGATGTGAATAGATGTGAATAGATGTTACATAACGTCATGATGTTATCAACCTCCAGAATCTATAAAACAGTGTGATGATTAATGTGTTTATTACATCAAGTGTTTTTTTCTGCATTAGTAGATATTATATTAACATGGATGTTTTAATCTCAAGTTTGAAGTTGTCTTCAATCCAGTATGATGTTTATTTTGTAAATTATGGTCCCATTTAAAGTAAAATAGATCATGGATATCGTGAAATGTATAGCTTGTACCTTTCATTGGGTGCAGGTCACAGGTGAAGGTGAGCAGAGGTGTCCCCTTGCTCTCAGTCAGGTTCCTCCCCCCTTTCCTCCAAATATGGTTACATCTGGTTTCAGAAAAAAAGAAGAAAGAAGTCGCTGGACAAAAGGCCAAACTAGAGGTTTCAAAACTGCAGCTTGATCAAGCTCTGTCCAGTCTTTATTGTCTCTACTCCCTGATTTAGACTCCTCTGGTTCCAACATACTTAGCTGGATGGTCCAAAGCGTCCCTGTTGTGCCCTGAATGGAGTCTGAGCTCGACTCTAATCCCACGTTAGTCAGCAACAGCAGTGGGACTAGAAAGACACAGGAGCGGGTGGCCACATAGCAGCACAAACCCCTACTGCCCCTGCTGCCAGCTTCTATAGTTCCCTCTCATCTCTGCTCTCTGTCCCTCCTTCTCTTTCAGCATGCAGACTTACTTTGTCCTTGCCTTGGCTTGTGCACTGAGTCCATCTAAAGCCTGGTGAGCCGAGGAGTTCAAAGCCTCGGCCACAATTATCTCTCTGCCATGCCTGTAGATCTGCTGTGGCCCCTCTCAACCACACTGGCGAATATCGATTTAATAAACATCGTTCCACACGGTACTTTTTAACCACTTTAAATTCCAAACTGTGCTGATTTAACATCTGCCACTGCTGCTCTGCCAAATTAAATTGAGCTTTGCTTGCTGTAAAGGATCATAGTCTAAACCAAGAGAACATAGAGCTGACTGTTTTCCACTTCTGTATGTGTTCCCTCACAGTTGGAGCAGAATTGAGAAGCTACTTAATTAAACTGACAAGGTAGAGAGGCAGACAGCAGAGCGAAGTCAGTCAAATTAGTTTGTATGCATGTATGCAGTCTATGTGCAATATCTATGGGCAAGCCTGTGCAGGAGGAATTGTGTCTTACTGATTGTTGTGCTGGAGCAGAAGGCCACTCGAGAATTTGAGGGAAAGCCGATTAATAAGTGTCACCCAGCACCAGTGTCACTCAGCCAAAGGCTTTGACTAGAGAAAAAAAATCTTCTCTGCACTCCCCTCCCCCCACATCACACATGCACTACATACCACTTTCCCAACTGGTCTCAGACATTAGGACAAACACATCGTGTCTAAACTTTAACCCCCAGATCAATGTGTTCCTCGAGAGCCCAGTGAGCCTGCTTTTCTCTGAATTGAAGAGGGATGAAAGCGGCGAGCTGGAGTTCCCAGCTGATGGCTGACATCCTCTGAAAATGACCTTGTTTTTTTCCCTCTCTGCTGCACTGTCTCCTCATGCCGCTGTTCTTTGTAGAATAACTCCTTCACCACCTGATGAGTGTGTGGATAGATTCCTTTTTTATTCCTTTGGGACAACTTGTATTTTTTTGTTTCTCAGTGCCACTCTCCTGGCATTTCTTGTTGAGCTGCTCAAGAGCTCCGTGGCCATGCAGGAGCAGATGCTCGGGGGAAAGGGCTTTTTGGTGATTGGATACCTGCTAGAGAAGGTATAGTATACTACAGCCTTCATAACATATTGCAACTGTTTGACAAATTCAGTGAATCATTAGTTCATTGAGTTAGAATTTTTAATTTAATGTCATCCCAAAGATTATTCTCTTTTTTGCAGGCAAATGAAAAGGCCAGCAGACATGTTTATGTTTTACTAAGAAAAGGACAGGTTTAAAGAATAAAATGAATGATTGCTGATTGTCAAATAAATTGAATGTATATATAAAATTTACATGTGTTGAATCAATGTCAAATAAACTCTTTAATTCCTTGAAATGAATGGGAGCATTCAGATTCCACATGTTATTTCACTGAACAACCCTCTGTTTTTGAAAAGTGTTTCACCTTCCCCACTATCAAGATGCATTGTATCCTGTCTGTACTCTCCCAGCCTTGTCAACACTCTGATCTTCCATTGCCTGCAGCAGAAACCTGGATGTGTCTTTGAACTAGACAGAGCTTTAAGAACAACACCACAGGATGACATGCCTTCCTCTATTTCCCCTGTTGGTTTCTCTCTCTTTCTGCATCAGTCTTTACTCTATTTACCCATTTTGTGATGCAGATCGAGCACCTCGCCCGGCCTCCCCAGAGTGTTGGCTCTTTTGGAGTCACTGAGAAATGACTCCACTTTGTCACTCAGTGAGTTGCCTGCCTACTGGCTTCAGCTGCTGTTAACTAACAGCCAGACACAGTCGGCACCTGAGTTTTTTTTTCCTTCCTTCCCGCTGCCAGGTTTCACATTTCCACATCTCACGCCATCTGTTCCTGATCTGTTTATGCCACACCTTCCCTTCTCCCCATGCCTGCATTTTCCCTCTCTCCTGCCCTGACCAAGCAGCCACATGGGGGGAGAGCAGGTGTTAGACAAGAGCAGTAATGGTCCTTGTCAATGTGACATTTGCTCAAAGTTGAGCATTAATAAAAGTGCCCTAATTTTGTTCATTCATTCTTTTTAGATTCATTCACCAATACCAGCATGATACTGCAGACCATGTAGAACACACAACTTAATTTAATTAAACCTGCCCACCAGGGAAAAAGACTGAGTTTTGCAGAAACAAAATTATTTGATCCATTGTTTTTTTCAAAATACTTTTCAATATAGCCATTTAAATCCAAGAAACATTTAAACAGCACCCAAATTATTGTTAAGTCTATTAAATACTATAAATAAATTGTACACCATGTTCTATAATGTCATTGTACACCCTGTTCAATGACAATAAAGGCATTCTTCTTCTACATAAGGACTTTTTTTCTTCTGGCATCTCTGTGTTTTCAACAACCTTCTCATCTTGAACATTCTGATCAGATAATTGAATACCAATTTTCAATGGGAAATTTGGTCTCAAGATTTAAAATTGGCAAACAGTTGCATAAAAATCACATTATGTTGTTTTTTTTAAATCTCTGTTGCTTCTACAAATGTTTCTAACATTTGTTCAACTTAAAAGAGCCAACCTGTATAGGATAAAAATTTACTTGGAGAGATTTAGAGTTTTCTATTTGAGTATTCCAAAGAGATATTTCTCCATGACTCTGTGCTTCTTCCTGCAGTCATCACGTGCCCACATCACCAGGTCTGTACTAGAGCAGTTCCTCTCCTTTGCGAAGTATCTGGACGGTTTGACACATGGGGCACCAGTACTGAAGCAGCTGTGTGACCATATCCTGTTCAACGCTGCCATCTGGATCCACACCCCTGCCAAGGTAAGCTCCTGCAAGGGGCCCACGAGGGGACAGGTGTCTTTGCATGTGGTCGGAAGGCTTCATGTATCATTTACATCATCATTGTTTTTGAAAAGATGAGAATTGAAATTGCCAAAGATTCTCTTTGATGGCAAGTGTTTTTGAAAAATGTTGGTAAAATATGATTTCAGATGGAAAAATTGAAATACTCATATTTTTCTAGTATGCAACTTTTATTAATGAGCCGAAGGCAAAACAACATTGACTCTGTTGGTTGAGTTGTCACGTTAAAGGACAGTTTCAGCCATTTGTGGCAGTTTCTGTTAAGGAGCCATCTGACATTCACCCATCAGCTGCTAAGTGCATGAGGAGTCCTCAGTGGAGTGGAGCACATACACCGGCTGCAGCATATTCCCATATTTATAGGATATTAAATTATTGCATGGTTCATTGCTTGCGTCCACCTTACTTTCCTCAACCTCAACCAACTTTCTGAAATGAATTTTGTCTCCCTTCGTTTAAATAATGACCCATGAAGAAACTGGATGAGGTATATTAAAGAAGCTGAGGTTGCGCGGCAAATGCATTTGCCTCAGGAATGTTTCTGGTGGGTCCAAGCCGGGAATAAATAAAAGGAGGAAATTAATGCCAAAGTGTCTGGAGGCTTTCTTGGGACACTCTTCCAAAGAGGAGCATAGAGAAAAGAGAAACACTGAGGTAATGAAGTGGGCTGGGACTCTTTTAGCTACATCAGGACAGAAAGCTACACTGGCTCCGTCCCTGAGGACATGCAACAAAGTCCACATTTGCTCTGTCCCCATCTTCAAGCTGCACCAGGTACAGAGAGCCAGCTGTGTGAACGATGGCGACATGCAATACGCATTAATTACATGGACTCACTGACCTTGTCCAAGTAGACAATGTGATTTTTTTCGCATGCTTTTTACTTCTCTGTTCTCATGGAAATTACATTAGCAACAGTGTGGTGTATCTCTAGCGTTTAATATCAGTGGCCTCAAACCATATCGCATCATACTCACATCATAACCACACTGCTGCCTTTATTCATGACTCACATTTGACTCATTAATATCCTATAATTTATGGCATATGGGAAAAAAAGTGTTTAGTGCCAGAATGACTGGGGGAGATTAAATTCATGTCAGGTCTGTTGCTAATTACAGAGGACACGCTAATCATCAGTGAACAGTGTGGAGCTGTGACGGCTATGAAATGAAGTAATATAGGGTCAGTGGCCATCCCTACCATACAAATACAAGGATAATGGGCTCATCCAGTGCAATCCAACATGTAAAATGTCTTGGTTATTCTACAAGGTTCAGAGGATTACGCTGTAGTTATGTATTCTCATAAATTATCCTGACAGTGTGCAGTTAATAACATGAACACGTCTGTGTGTTACCTCTCCAGGTACAACTCTCTCTCTACACATACCTGTCCGCTGAGTTCATTGGCACGGCAACCATCTATAACACAATTCGTCGAGTGGGCACAGTGCTTCAGCTCATGCATACGCTTAAGTACTACTACTGGTCCGTCAACCCTGCAGACAGCAGCGGCATCGCACCAAAGGGTCTCGGTGAGTATATGTGTAATTAAATGTTTTTTCCAGGATAGGTCAAGCGGAGGTTGTTTGTTATCTTTTTGCACAGGAATATGATTTGATTTGATTTGGCTTGTTGTTTACATAAACTGTTTCCCATCCATCTGAATGCTCATCCAAGTGAAGCTCATCGTTTTAGAAAGGAAATCACAGGGTGGGAACCAATCACGACCGTGTGCAAGTCACAAGCCTGCAATCAAAGTGTCTTCCTGAAATGGCAGCCGCTCCCCCACATTTGAAATGACTCATCTCCACATGGAAGTGTCGGTGCCTGTCAGCTGTTAGGACCGTGGCCATCACTGGAGATGACAGTGAGGAAGACACATCACATCAATAGTGTCATCTCGATAGGGCGCTCGTGTGGGCGTCAAGTCTTTGAAACCTGGGCCAATAGTATGACTGGCATCGTCTGTCTGTGTAACAACAGTATGTCACCAAGCAGGCTGTGCTGGAAGTGAGTGTCCTTGAACTGCTGTTTCCTTTTTACCTTTGTCATTGTTTAGGTTTTTTATGCATTTCCAATGCTTTTCTAGAGCTCAGTTTAAACTGCACTGAGGAAATTTACATCCTGACGGTTAAAAGTTCTTCCAGCCAAACATTGATTTGCTTTTACCAGCGTGGTTAGGATTGCTGACAATTTCTGTCACATGAGAAGTTCACATTTATTTACACAGCAAGAGCAAAATTATATTTTCACAAGCAGTGTCAGAACTGGGCGAATGTTGTAGCATTTTAGCTTAAATTTTCTGCATCCCACATCAAGGCACTTGGCCTACATTCGAGATCTGTCAAGAGTGGGAGTCTTGATTTGATGCTAATAGTGGCTGTGACCTTTTAGACTGAGGTTAGCTGGGACAATATGGGCACTCATATCTGTGATTTAGGTCAGACCAAAAGCCCCTTCAGTGTCACTTTTCCTAATTTTAATTTCCTCCTTATCCCATCTACTTACACTCTGCAGCAGTGTCCCTTATCCCTTCTTATGCTTTGCAATGGAACTTTACAGGACTTAATAAGTGATGAAAGCACAACCTATCTGGAGCTCATGTTCTGGGTCGTTGCACTATATTTAGCATGGGCATCAGAGGAACTTTTGTCATGACTTTCTTTCTATCATGTCCACTACGTGTGACACTCAAGGTAGTTTTTTTTGCTATTACCACTGCTGAATAATAGATTTTATGTTGAAATCACTTGGGAAATCTGTTTCTTTTGATCCTCAGGCATTGCAGCGTAGTTTTGCTATGTGTGCATGTATTACAAGTAGGCAACGCTATGCTGCCACCCCTTGAAACTTAAGTCTTGCATATGTTACACTTCTACCTCTTATTTTACATTTTAGTTGGCTCTATTTATTGCTTCACTCGTAAAATCACTAATACTTTTTTCTCCGTTTTATTTGGGTGAATCAAATGTATTTCCACTTGATGTGGTATTGGATCAGTACATAGAATTGCATATTTGCCAATACCCAACCCGGTATTTTCTGCATTATTTGAGGCATTTCACATGATAGTGCTCTGACTGTAGTTACTCGAGTTAATGCTATACAGAAGAGCCACACTTCACACAGTCATATCAAATGAAGTGATGTCTCCACTTTTGCCCATGAGGAAACATCATGGTCTTTATTCAGAAATGCCGTGCATATGCACATGAAACCAAGATTTGTCACAGACATAATGAATTTGTTGAGTGTTTGTGAATTTTGTCACCTCCTGGGTGACGTGCTCACTTCCAAAGGCTTTAAATGTAGACAGGTTGATGTTAAGGAAGTCCACTCTCCAGATGCAGAGAAGTTTACATTTCCCTGTGAGAATGGCATGGTAGAGTCCTGTCTGTCCCTCCAACAACAAGTTTGACAAATTAAGATTGCTCTCTGGCTCCAAATGACGTGAAAAGGACAAGAGGACAGCACCCGTATGCAGGATATTTTAGGCTTCACTTTTGTACAACAGGAGTAAGAAGAGACATATTGTCCATCTTTTTTTAATGTTTAAGATTTCCAAGTTTTCAAATTGAGCTATAAATATGGTGGTGATTATTGCTGAATCGCTGGTGGATTGTTATGGGCTGACAAAATGGTTGAGTTTGTGGGGAGATATTTTGAAATAGATCACCATCATTTTCAGCGTGGGCCTGGTTCCATTTATCTGCTCTTTATTTGCAGGGCAGTTTTTTTCTTTGTCCTTCTAAACTGTGATATAACCCCCAAAAAAAGGCATAAGTAGGGAGAGAACAGAGAAGATAATGAAGTGTTCAATTTTAGGACACGGAGTGGACATTTAATACAAAGCTCCTGCAGCTACTCAATCTTTCTGCAAGTGCTTTCTTTTTTCCCTCAGGTCTTAATAGAAAGTGCCATCAAATTAAAGCCATGTATCATTCGCTTATACACAGGATCACTGCAGGCCCTCACAGACAGTTGCCCATCGCTCAATTTTTCTCAGCCTGTGACATGCACCAAAGCCAATACATAATCTGTTTCAATCTCAGTCTCCTTTTGTCTTTGTCTCCGTCCCGCTTGTACTTTACTAAATAATGAATAATGAAACGAGGAGCAAAGTGGTTTGGCCAGTCACCACGTTCAATTCAAGCTGGTTCTGTCTTGTTCCCTTTATTGTAGAAATCCCCAGTGACAGATAGGTAGAGGTGCTTCAGTGGAATAATCTGATCAAGGCTTGTGGTTGAATTGATTTTGTGTGTGTGTCGTCATTCTGATGAATGAATCTTGTGAAAACACAAATTACTGATAACAGGGAGGTCAGGGAACGGTTTGGCACATGCATGCTGCTCTTTCAATACTGCCTTCATACAGATTTACACTCCTGGGAAATCCTCTGGATCAAACAGAGGTGAGGTGGTGCATTAGAAAAGCTGTTGAAAGATGGGCCCCACTCTTGCGCTCATATTTGCCCTGTGTGTGTCTCACAAAATATAAAACAAGGTATTTCAAATACTGTAAATAGTAGGTAAGCAGTTAACATGAGTTACAGCCTCAAGAGAATTGTGGAAACCAATTATATGTGTTGCCTCAATCAAAATTGCTGTTGCATGTTGTAGTAAGTATACAGGATGCATATTGTGTTTGTTGTGAATTTACGATCATAAGTCATAAGCTGAAAATAGGATTCCTTCATTAATCACATCGACATAAATTGTTTTTCAATAAACTCTTTCTCCCTGTGCCCTTGGGAAGTAAAGTAATCTGTGATTGAGAAACAAGAGCTGCACAGAGCTGCTGAGAATAATTGGTTGTGAATAACTTGGATGCAGTAGCTGTGGTAATAATGTTCTTATCATCCCTCCCATGTCAGGGTCTGTTCCTGCACTGGTTTTTCTCCTCTCACTCTATTAATCAGTGTCAGCATGCAGTGGAACTTGCTATCCTCCTGCAACCTCACAGAGCCTCATCATTGATTACACTGACTGACTGCTGGAGCAGCAGGATGGCCAGTAGTCTGCTGCTGTTTTATCTGTCATTGTGGCACTGGCCCCATTTCAAATGAACATGTGTTCGGCCAAGGTGCAGGTTTTGGTTTACAGAGGCTCCGGGGGGGGGGGGCCAAAGACATTGGGCACATCTTTCCCCAAAAAGGATTTTGCTGTTGTAATTGGCCATTACTGTTTGCTTTTGTTTTGCATTTGCTATCAAGCATATCAAAGGATCTGTCCAAATTAATTCTAACTGATTAAACCAAACCAATACAGCAGCAGCAGCAGCAGCAGCAGCTCTGTGTTATGACAGTTTCTGTCATATTTCTGTCATTCTGCTTTATTTGCACGCCATACATACACCTGGTGACGGCGGTCAGTCTGCCAACATGTAGATTGAGATTCATGACAGGGATTGATCGCAATGTGGGGCAAACGTTGAAGTGCCAAAGTGACCTTAAGTTGGCCGACTCATTCTGGATAGTTTTTAATGAGATGTTGGACAGTGTGATGGGCAGGTGGGACTGTGGTGACCTTGGGCCGGCTGCCTGGGCACTATGTTTTGGCCAAGGCTTGCACACAGACTCTGGATGCAGTAGAAATGATTAATTAAATTGCCGTCCTGAACCTAAACCACCCTGTGTACAAACGACATTCTGCCAATCGTTAATGTAAAAGTTTGTTTTTGTTTCTTAAGTGGGAGATTGGGTCTATGTGCCACTCCCTGTCGAGGTAGTAGGTAAAACCTCGTGAAACCTCTGATACACACATTCAAGGTGAATCCAGTAACACTGAAAGAAAACTGAAGATGACTTTGAAGGACTTCCTGTTCTGTCTGCTTTTTCAAAAGTGCAAAAATGAGAAATGTGTCGGATCAATCAGAAAACATCAGAAGAACTTAAGACTGAGATTGGAAAATGGACAACAGAAAACAGGTTCCATTCGTATTGGTTCCACTAACCTTCTGTCTCATTTTTATTGCTTCTCTCACTCTCCCCCTAAAATTACAGATGGTCCAAGGCCGACCCAGAAAGAAATTATTTCTCTGCGGGCGTTCATGCTTCTCTTCCTCAAGCAACTCATCCTGAAGGTATATTCCACCTGTGTTCATGCCTCGCAGACCCTCACATGGCTTGATTTTGAGCTGTACCCTAGAAAATATGCAGGTCTGCCGATAATCATACTTCCACAACAGGCTCTGCCATGGTAAATTCACAAAGCCCAAAGTAAAAGGGAGCTCCTCTCCTCAGTATTCCTGTTGATACTTCCTGGAAATATGCCTCACATTCAAACAATGCACACCTAGTGGCTGGTATTTTTCTACCCTTGGTCGAAGCAGTTGACTGGACTCAATCTGGAGGGGGGTCTTAAAACCAAGTGTTTCAGACAGAGGCTGAAAAGAAGAGCTGCAGCAATGGACAGTATTAGGAAGGTGGTGTGTTTCTGACAATTAAAGCATAAAAAACCTTTCAAGTAATACGCCAAATTTAAATTATGAGTTTGAGGATATTATGTAACAGGTTTGTCTACAATTCTATTGCCAAAAATGGTTCTTAGGCAAACCAACTGTTTCATTTGTTTTGCTGCTGATAAATTCTCATCACAGGTACATCCCTAACTCATCCAATAAAAAACTTCACACTCTTGATGCCTAAACAGTATTGTTACTCTGGTAGTTTCCAGTACCTGCATCATCAGTACTCATGATGCTTTTCTGCAGAATATTCGTAGACAAGTTCTACCGTTTTCATTGACCTTGTTCCAATGATTTGCCTTGTATGTGATGTTTTCCTGTTTTGCATTCTTTCAGGACCGAGGTGTGAGGGAAGATGAGCTGCAGAGCATCCTGAACTATTTGTTAACAATGCATGAGGTACATGACAGTCTATCTGCGCTCTGAGTGAATTCAGTGTGTTAGTGTGCCACTTTGCTGCAATAAGCTTCAGGGTCACATTTCATTCTCATTGTTGCTATTCTAGGAGAAGTATATTTTTCCAGCATTTAAACTAATCACCAGGATAAATTAATGTTCTGGATTGCCAGTGCACTTTTCATTGTACAGCCACTGCCCTCAGGGGCCTAGTTGTATTCTGCAATAGCAGATGATACAGTAACAGGACACATACTATATCTTTGCTGCATTTGCAGTTACCGAGCAAAGAACATGATGTTCTCTCTCTTCACCTGCTTCCTTTTCTGTCTTTCTTTCTCTTTATTATTTTCCCTCTCTGGTGGTTTATTTACAGGATGAGAATCTGCATGATGTGTTGCAGTTGGTGGTAGCACTCATGTCTGAGCATCCAGCCTCTATGATCCCTGCTTTTGACCAGAGAAATGGAATACGGTAAGCCCCTCAGGGAGAAACACAATCCCTTTGCTGTTCAAGCACAAAATGAAGAGGTGATTTCACAATATAAACCTAAGCACCTAACACTTGTGCTGCTTCTGGGTGAAGCATGAATAATTCATATGTTCACTGAGAAATAAACTATGCATGGAAAAGTAGCAATATTAACATATTGATTTCACAAAATGACACAGATGATCAAACTTACCCCATGTGATCTTATGCAATATAAATGCACACAGTGAAGTGCTCACTACTTGTGCGTTCTGCTGCTTTCTTTGGGACATTCATTTCCTGCTAATGTAAATTTACTCTGAAGGAAAGTGGTTGTCAGCTTAGCAGCGCAGGGCCTTTTCATCATCAGGACTATATTTTATTATGTCAGAATCATGTAGAGTTGCCAGCTTATGCTGCTTGTGTCTATTCCAGGGTGATCTACAAGCTCATGGCCTGTAAGAGTGAGAGCATTCGAGTACAATCCCTCAAAGTCCTAGGGTATTTCCTAAAGCACTTGGGCCACAAGTAAGTAACTCCATTATATTGTGTAGTAGATTGTAATTACACACTAAGTCTAAGTCTTTTTTTATAATGAATAAGATATCTTGTAATGTTTAAAACTACACACACACAGAAAGTGGGAACTGACATAATGTTTAAAACTGTCCAGCATGGTGGTAACTATTGACAACGTACATAAGCCCTTATCTGATGTAAAAAGTCAATTTGGCCAAATCTGCAACATCAGCAGTCTCTTCCAGCTGTGTGGAATGATAGCGACTGCTTATACGCTGAGTCTGTGTTTTTACGTCTGTGATGTGTCATTATTAGAGTAATTACTCAACTTCAAGAAGACAGTTCTTCTTCCACTTATTTTCTTTAGTAAATATTTCACACATCCATCCACATACCACCAGTGGGACATGTACCATAGTTTGAGAAATTAGATTTTGTCTCATATATGTTCAATGATGTCCTCTATTATATATCGTTCATTCATTTCTAGTCTGTCTGTGTCCAACTTGTGACAGGCTATGTAAGCTGAAATGTCATGATTCAGGCTTTACATTCAGAGACATGATTCATCTGTCCCTGTCACTCATTTGAAAAATTGTACAATTAGAAGAGTCCAAAACTTTTGACTGGATGCCAGTTTTTTAAATTATGGTGCATTTCTTTGTAGAGCACCTGAATTCTTGGCATTTTACCAAAACCATTACTTCACTAAAGAGAAAGGTGGAAGAGGTCCAAGTTACTGTCCCGCAGAGTGAAATAAATTTTAAACTACCCACTAGGATGTCAGCGCATCCTCTGCATGCTGCACATTGGAGAGGAGAGGAGAGAGGGAGCTATACTTTACAGTAGAGAGAGAATGCCTCTGGGTGAGCCTATGATTCAAAATGTGGATGGCACTGTTGGTTGGAGAATATATGGGGTTTGGTGCTATGCTCTCAGTGGTGGGGCAGCAGGTGTTGTGGTATTACTGGTGCCTGCTGAATGGGGACAAAGGACAGGCCACCCCAGGCACAAGTGAAAGACCTTTATCCTCCAGGGACATGAGTGTTTTATCAAATCCTGCTTTCCCCCTTCACTTAAATAGCTTTTGTACATTTTGTAGCACAAAGCTGGCTCACTATGAGCTCTAGTGCTGCTCATAAAGAATTAAACTTGTTGAATGCTTTATTGAGGTGATTCTTTAATTTCATTTTATTATCTCAGTGACATACGATATTGGTCAATCTGTCTGGGTCACATAGTTGGGATGATAAGATATACAGTGTTGTACACATACACAATATTAACTTCTCAGAAATGAACATGAATGTGATAGGAACTACCTAAATTGACAGAAACCATCTTTGATACAATTGTATTTGTCTTGAAATGTACTTTGACATTTTAGTTTGGTCCATGTCCCATCTGCTAACATAGAGGAGACAAGGTTTTAGAGCTGTACTCCAACTAGTCACCAGAGGGCGTTAAGGTTTCTTTGGCCTCACTTTGGGAAGCTGTCATGTCCTACATCTGACCTGTATCTGGTTTATGCTCCACCCTTAGAATTTCTTACTGAATAACATCTATCCTATTTTTATATTTCACCAAAGAAACTGACTTATTTATACTTACAATAAGGTTCAACCTCCCACAGTATGTTGATTGTGTAGAGCAGATTTGTTGTACACCTCATTAGTCTGCCCTTTTCTACCAGTTTTCCACATTTTAGCAGTTGAGAGAACACTACTCTTACCCTAAGTGTCCAATTTGCGAGCCTCTGCAAAATAAAAAAAAGAAATGGCGACTTATTAGTAAAGTCCCAACTCATCCTTAGGCAGTTGCAGCAGAGTTGTGCAGCTCTGGCTCTGCATGGTGACAGCAGTCCTTAAGCTGTTTGCAGGAATAGTTTGTCACTGTGCAGCCTGGTCCTGCCTCTGTTGTGTCTCGGAGCCATTTTTGTGACAGGCTAACTTCGTTATCCTACACACCTCCGACGAAAATTCCCCCAATTTATGACAGCAGGCACTTCCTGACACTTGTCTCCAGAGCCCAGCTCCCTGTGGGTGAGAATAGGGTAGCAGGCTGACGGCACTCACTGATCCTTTCAGTGGCTTAGGGAGCTCTAAACAGGCCACTTTAACCATTGTGTGTGTGT